TTTGAAAGCATTCTTTCTTTACAGCATTTTTTCACACCTGCCTAAAACTTTTGCACAGTACCGTATGTGGTATATTGTCCTGTTCATCCCTTGTTAAAGAGCCAAACTAACTACTAGCTACAAACTAACAAAGCCAGCTTCAGCTTGGTCTGAGGAATTTTTATCTAGTGAGGCTAACTGACTCCCACAGCCTCACTTTGGAGGCATCTGGAACCAACTTAAGATGGTTGTTTGATATTGGTGACATAGAATCAAATAAAGGTTTGATTTTTTCATCACAAAAGACTCTAATGGGCAGGATTTCAAACGAATCTAAGTAACATCAGTGGGATGGTAGGTTGTTTAAAAGACAGAAGAATCCGCTTACGGTTTTAAACACTTGGGAGCCATTCAACAGCACATAAATCTATCTGGCTGGGTTGGCAATGAAGACACTGTCCTAAGGAAGTTACTACTGCTCTCCTAGAATTCCAGCAACCAATATTATAAATATTCTGAAAAACGCTGAGAGCAGTCTGTCGTGTCTGCAATAAGCAATCTGAATTAGAAAAAGATACTTCTTTAGCATCCAGAGGAGATTTAGTATGTGTGCAGCCCACCCCGTTTGCCTCATCAAGAGTTACACAATTATTAGCACAAGCATTTGGGTGCAGCAGCATTTCATCAGATTGTTTTACTTTTCTTTGATTACTTGCTCATTAGCAGCACACGTGCCCAAGGTAAGAGAGTTAGATGGAGCAGTTGCATAAGGCTTAGTAGGAGTAGAAAGTCTGGTTTCATGCTTTCAACCATAAGCCTCTATACCTTTTAACACATCCAGTTCATATTTTATGGCTGACAGCTGCTCAAATATCAAGATAACAATTTGTGCTGTGAGCAGACATTGGGAGAAGGAGGAAGAGCCACAGACCAGACAATGGTCAGATAAGAGGCAGCTTAGCCTGGGGAAACAAGAGGGGCATGGCAAATGTTTCAGAAGGGACCCACCCTAGTTTCTAGGGAGGAGGAAGAGATGTAATTAAAAGCAAGGGAAAAGAGATGTACTTTCAAACTAGCAAGTTTCTGTTAATGTAACCTTACAATAAAATTAGAGCTAGTACTTCTGGGTATGCTTCTTGTCTGGAATACCCCACAAGGTTGACACCAATCTTGCAAGTCTCATAGTACATCTCTCCCCGCTTGCCTTTACAGTCCAAGAAACTAGGGAGGGTCCCTTTTGAGATGTTTGTCATGCCCCTATTGCTTCTGCAGCTAAGCTGCCTCTTATCTGACCATGTCTGGTCTGTACCTCTTCCTCCTGTTTCCCAACATCATTCCCACATACCATTACAGAAAGAGTGGGAGATGAGTGTAATTCCAAGGGAGCGCATTCCTTTCCCACATGCTTAGTAAATTGACCTTGGAAAGTAAGGCATTTTTAACAAGATTCTTCCTGCTGACCTTAATATTTAGACAGTTTACACTGAGCTAGGGAATCCCGCAGATAGGTGGCCCTCAAGCTACTCAAACTTTGAAGAACAAAAGCAGAGCTTTAAATCAGGTCCAGAATGAGCACCTATTCACAAGAAATCAGTTGTGCTTTTTGATGTGCACATGCCCCTATGTTATAACTATCCAAGATACAGCATGCAAAATCATTTTGCCAAGCTCATTTACCTGAAGTCATCTGAAGAAGGCGTTTCAGCTGACAATTTGCTTGGACTCCCATCGTTACTGCCTGTCCCCTGGTGTAACCTGAAAAAACCAAACGAATTATGAATGTCAAGACAAAATTCGCATGGCCACAGAAAACTAAAACACCCATCATATTGCTATCACTGTCCTGGAGGATGAGGGAATGAAAACCTGGACTGGGAAGAGCAGATTGGGAATTCTGGGAATTGAACAGGCAACATCAGGCTTCCTTTGGATTCATACATGGGCAAATGACACCTTGTTTTGAGCAGCCCTCTGAACAACCCAGAAGAGTTTGACAGCCCAAGGTATGATAGCCTCAAGGTCTAACCAACATTTTAAAATGCATTAGATAAATACATCAGTTGACAGATCTTTTTGCATAATAACCATATTCAAAGAAAACCAATGTCCCTGGAGGGGAAAAATGAGGCTAGATTTCATGATCAAACATAACCCTCTACATGATCATAGATGGAAACTAAAACTGGACTAAAATAATTATTAGCTTGATCCGATCAACTATTTTTAACT